CCTGCTCCTGATGGGCCCGCACCCAGCACGCTGCCTGGCCGCCTGGTGGGGACTTAGAAGTGTCTGCTGAGCGGAGAGATAAGTTGTGTTCCCAGGATGTGCTGGCATCTGGGCACCAGTGGGCTCTTCTTCTGTGTCCTGCTCCTGCCCCAGCTGCCACACCCGTGCTGGTATGTCCACGGCTCCTGCGTTGCTCTCAGACACTCGCGGGCTCAGGTTTTTGTCATTGTTTTCTGTGCTTGTCATCCCACCCATGCCGTCTCTTCAGGGCTCTTCGTTGATGTCACTGGCCGCCAAATGAGCACTGTCCCCCACAGAGGGCACTGTCCTGGGGTGTCCTGAGGACAAGCAGTCCAGCTGCCGCCCTGGGCTACAGCCTGGGTCCCCCGTGGAGCTAGGAGCCTCCCTGTACACGCACATCTCCTCCTCTGTGGCCCACAGGTCAGGAAGACATGCACGGGGGCAGCCCCGTCGGCAGGAACCGCCTCCCCATGTTCCTTAGGCGAAGCCAAGTGAAGCGAACGCAGCCTCCTGCACAGGAGCCCGGGAGCGGCTGCTCCTCCAGGAACAGCCCCGCACAGTCCGCAGGAGGCCAGGTGCGGCCTCAGGCTCAGGAGCCGCTCAGTCAGCCCGGCCAGCGGGGAGGAGGCCTTTGATGCGGGCGGGAAAAGCGAGAGTGAAGAGGAGGAAACCAACATTTAAGCATCTACAATGGGAAAATTTGATGTTTTACCCAATTTAATCCTCAAAAAAATGCATCAGGGAACACTGTGACCCACATGCCTGAGATGAGGAAACGGAGGCTTGCTCGGTGGAAATGTTCACGTCAGGGGGAGTGTGGCTTCGATGTGCACAGCACAGGCCCTCCAGTGCCAGCCCCAGAACCCCGCTGCAGAGCAGCTGGTCCAGTGGGAGGAGGCCTGGAAGGGGAAGGGGAGGGAGCAGAGCAATGGTGGCTGTGGCGGGGGGTGGGGAGGGTGCAGCCTGGCTGCTGAGGCCCGGCTTCTGGGGGGTCTGGATTCTGTGAGGGCACAAGAGGGGCTCTAATGGGGCCTCTGCAGGGGACTAAGCACAGGAAACAGGACCCAGGAATTCCTCTCCCCTGCAGGACTCCCCACGTTTGTTCTCTTGGCCTGCGGGGCTCCAGGCAGCAGCGGAGA